GATAGTTAACCCATCTTAAAAAGGAAGAAACTGAGGCACAGACAGGTATTCAGCAGAAGATTGTTGTGAGCCACACCTGACCCCTGAGCTCACCTTCGACGTGGGCAGGTGGGTGATGACAGCGCCCCACTTCCAGCACATCTCACTTCACTGTCTCAGGGCCTTTCTCCAAAGCCTTTGAGTCTTGTCAGCCCCCAGGCCTCCCAGGGGTTCCCCAAGGGCAACCTTCAACGCTGGGGGATAGGAGTTGAGTCAATAAAGACCCCAGCCTCCCATTCTTTGGGAGGCCAATGCTGAGGGGCTTTTAACATGGTTCACAAAGAGAACCCTGTGTGATGGATCTCCAGTAGCCCACAGTGGCAATGGGCTCAATGACACATAATTGTTGGATTTTTCCTACTTCCCACCCCTCATTCCGGCTTCCCTGGATCACTTCCCAAATTAACTACACATATCCAAGTCCACATGATAGTCTCTGCTTTTAGGGTAGCCCAAAGTAAGAAAACAGGCTAAGGAGCTTGTTTAACATCATCTGTGAGGCTGCAAAGTGTCTGAACCAGGACATAAACAAACCTAGGGCTTCTGCTGCCCACAAAGGTTCTCTGTGCCCTGTGTGACCCCATCTCCCTGGAGCAAAAATTTCCCAAGAGTGCTGAGTTTTGAGTCAGACCTTGAAGAAAGTAATGTATATCACCGGCATGGGTGAAAGAGACAGTGTTCTGGGCAGCATGAAAGATCTGATCAAACGCACAGAGGAGAGACCTAGACAGCTTTGAAAAGGACAGCGAGAGGCAGGCTCCCTGGACATCGGCTGCACAGAGGTGAGGGGAGGAGGTGACAGATGAGAGAGTGACTGCTCCACTCTCACTAGAGTGCCCCGCAGCTCCTGAGTCAGGGAGTGACATGACACTAACAATATCTGGGATGTGATGAGGCAGTGCCGTGCAGAACACGGACTTGAGCAGGTTGGGACTCAAAGGTGGTGATGCTGGCTCTTGTCCTTATCAACAGTTGTCCACCAGGTCATTCTGATTTCCTGTAAGGCAGCGAGAGGCACCCTGAATACAAGCTTTGTTCTAAGGCGCCCTTGTTTGTGCTCCTGGATTGCTGGAGGCTCCGGTCTGGCCACAAGTCCGGGAGTCATGACAGGGAGCAACGCTGTATTCAAGGGTGGGTGACACACTACCCTGGAACACTGGTATAGTTACCCTGTCTTGAAGAGGAAGAAATGGAGGCACAGATAGGTATTTGGCAAAAGACTTTTGTGAGCCACGCTTTACGTTTTGTTTTGTTTTGTTTTGTTTTGTTTTGTTTTTGTTTTGTTTTGTTTTGTTTTGTTTTGTTTTGTTTTGTTTTGTTTTTGAGACAGAGTCTTGCTCTTTCACCCAGGCTAGAGTGCAATGGTGCAATCTTGGCTCACTGCAACCTCTGTCTCCCATGTTCAAACAATTCTCCTGCCTCAGCTTTCCGAATAACTGGGATTATAGGCACGCCCTACCACGCCCAGCTAATTTTTTGTATTTTTAGTTGAGACAGGGTTTTCCCATGTTGGCCAGGCTGGTCTTGAACTCCTGACCTCATGATCCACCCAACTCGGCCTCCCAAAGTGCTGGGATTACAGGCATGAGCCACCACGCCTGGCCCACGCTTTACCTTTAAGCCCACCTCTGATGTGGGCAGGTGGGTGATGACAGTGTCCTACTTCAAGCACATCCCACTTCACTGTGTGGGGGCTTTTCTCTAAAACCTTTGAATCTTGTCAGCCCCCAGACCTCCCAGGGATGCCCAAGGGCAAACTTTCAACCATGGGGAATGGGAGTTGAGTCAATGGATAAAGATCCCAGCCTCCTATCCCACAAATCTTAAAATGTGGTCCTAGGACCGGTAGACCAGCATCATTTGGAAACTTGCTAAAAGCAAAAGTTCTTGGCCAGGCACAGTGGCTTATGCCTGGAATCCCAGTGCTTTGGGAAATCGAGGTAGGAGGATCGCTTGTGTTTAAGACCTGTTTGGGCAACATAGCAAGATCCTTACTCTATTAAAAAGAAAAAGAAAAAGGGGTTCTTGGTACCTACTGGGGACCTAATGAGAAACTGTCAGGGTGGCACCCTGTACTCTGATTTAACAAGGCTACTCTGCCATGCTTAACCTTGGAAAGCAAAGCTCAAGGAGCTGAACGTCTCCGCGGGTGTGTTCTATTGTAGCTGCTGTCTTCATCCTGTTCTTCATAGTCCTAAAGCACTCCTTCAAGCCAACCTGGGAAAGAAAACACAAGTTAGTTCTTTGAAAGCAGGTTCTCATTAAAACATAGACAAAGCATCTAACTAATAGAAACATTTCTAACTAATGGACAACATCTGACTAATGTGATTTCATAGTGCCTGTCGCAGAGAAGATGCTCAATAATGTCAATTTCACTTTTTCTAAGCAGGGAGATAAGATAAAATTTGAGAATATGGTAAATGCAAATGCCAAAGAAACATATAATTACTTCAAATGATAAAGTTAATTTTTACTGGAAGACACCAGTAAGACGTGAGTAGAACAAACTTTCCCTGCTGATGTGCTCTGTGAATAGCCAGGAGTGCAGACAGAAGGGGAAGACTGTCATTCTGTCTCTGAGGGTGAATAGGCTGGGCTCAGACAAAGTATGGCAGTTTTCTTGCAGAGGTTTATTTCTCTTCCTTGGGATCAGCCAGCCTTGCTATGTCTCTCAATAAAATTATTTGTTTTTTAGAGACAGGGTCTTGCTTTGTCACCCAGGCTAGAGTGCAATGACATGATCATAGCTCACTGTAGCCTCAAACTCATGGGCTCAGGCAATCTTCCTGCCTCAGTCTCCCAAGTAACTGGAATTACAGGTAGAGGGTTTTTTTTTTTTTTTTTTTTTTTAGACAAAGTCTTGCTCTGTTACCTGGCTGGAGTACAGTGGCAGGATCTCGCCTCACTGCAACCTCCGACTTCCTGGTTCAAGCGATTCTCCTGCCTCAGCCTCCTGAGTAACTGGAATTACAGGTGCGTACCACCACATCTGGCTAATTTTTGTATTTTTAGTAGAGACAGGGTTTCACCATGTTGGTCAGGCTGGTCTCGATCTCCTGACTTCATGTTCCGCCTGGCTCAGCCTCCCAAAGTGCTGGGATTACAGGCATGAGCCACTGTGCCCAGCCTGGGTTTGGCTATTTTTATTCCCTCCACGAGTAGATAAAGATATATGTAAAAAAATGTTTCTAATTTCAGCCAAGTCATCTGTTAGAGCCATATTTTAATTCCCCTGAGTTTCTTCTCATACTCTGCAAGAATTTTTCTTTTAGTTACCCCGTTATCATCCAGATCATGAACTTTACATACTTTGGCCAATGTCCCTGCATTATGTCATGATTTTGTTATTTTGAAAACTTCTTTAGCAATCAATTATTGGAGTCACAAAACACCCTATGGGATTGTGGGTCTTTTTTTCGAAAGCAACAATTATTTTTACAACTGCTTTGAAAACAGCATGAGATCAAGTCTCTAAGGGTAGAGACAGCTTCTTATGTGAATATCAAAGCAAGCCTGGGGGTGTTAATTTCAAGAGTACATCTTTAAACATTACCTACATTATTAAACAAGGATTAGAGGAGAGAAATCAGTGGGATTCAGGTCAGTGTACTGAGCCTCTCTAGCATCAGCTGAAACAGAAGATCATACCCCAAAAAACTGTCCTTAAACTTCCGGTCTCATAAATAATCCTCCACTTACTGTGCAACCCAGGCTACATTTGGTGGTTCCTGCTTTTCCCTGCTTCAATATATTACGTGGTGAACATTGCTGATAATAATGTCTTTCACTGTAGAGCTTGCCACACTATGACATTCCAAAAATATGCTGAGGATTTCTGGGCCGGAAGATGAGACCATCTCATATTTAAAATAGGACTTTGCAAGTTATTTCTACTTTTGTATTCAGAATTATCCAAGCAAAGACCCTAAAAACTGAAATGCTGGCTTTTAGTTTACGAGTGGACACACCTGAGTCCTGTTAGTCTTGTTAAAATCAGTCCGACGAGGATTTATACACACCTGAGTCCTGTTAGTCTTGTTAAAATCAGTGAGATGGGGAGAGGGGGTCCGGGGAAGTAGGGGCTCTCTATAATTTTAATTTCGTGGTCTGGGACACACCTCAAAATTACAAACCCTGGCCCCCTGCTGTTGGGATGTCGTCTCTGAGTCTGAAAACTTTCTGCTTCTCTTCGGTTTGTTAGCAAATACAGAACTGCCAAGAGTTCCTGTAATTTCTGAGATTCCATAATATGTCTTGCCCTTTCATCTGTAGCACGAGAGGAAGCAAAGGCCGCGGGGCCGGTTTGGAGAAAACCTCTTCAGGGGCAGTGGCGCACCGGCCCCACACCGGTCAGTCCTGGCGTTCTGAGCTCTGGGGTGGGGGAAAAGGCACTTGGGCCACCGGGTACTTCAAGCACCCTCAGGGCCGGCGGGAGCTGACTTTGCTTGAGCACCTGACGCCCAGCACCGGTCCAGCCTGCCGGGTCGCCCTCCGGCCTCCGGGCTCCGGGCTGCCCTGCGCCCCTGGCAATCTGCAGCTCACCGCGCCAGGCCCCGGGCTCAGCGTCCCGAAGGGGCTCATAGAAAGCAGAGAAGGTGGCTCGGCGGGAAAGAGACCGGAGGAAAGGAGTAAAAACAGAAGCCAGGCAGCCAGCGGCTCGGCCCGAAATGCCGGGGCTTTCCTAGGCTCACTGGAGGTTGAAAAAAGTTTCCTTTGTCAAGCAGTGGCCACGTGGCGCTATGGCGGTCACTACCGGGAATGATCCACCGCCAGCCTCTCAGAGCGCCGGGCGTGGGCTCGGGGACGCGCCGGCCCCCACCTGAGCCGGCCAAGGGGAGCCCGAAACCTGCGGGCACCGCGGGAATCCACTATGGAGGCGTAAAGCGGGACCGGTCGGGGTCTGCGACGGAGTCGAAAGCGGTGGAGCGCGGAGAAAGGCGTTCCCGGGTAGGCGGCCGCGGAGGGCGGGGGTCTCGGGGCGTCGGGAGCCGGGGTGGCTGGGAGCCCCGCGTCCGCGGCGGTGCAGGGCGGGGTTCCCGGAGGGGGCGTGGCGCGGGGCGGGGCGGGGCGGGGCGGGGGCGGGCACAGCGCGGGGCGGGGCGGGGCGGGGAGTGGCGGGCAGGCCGGGCATGGCGTCCATGGCGGCGGCGATCGCGGCCTCGCGCTCGGCGGTCATGAGCGGGAACCGGCCTCTGGACGACCGGGAGCGAAAGCGCTTCACCTACTTCTCGTCGCTGAGTCCTATGGCCAGGAAGATCATGCAGGACAAGGAGAAGATCCGCGAGAAGTACGGGCCCGAGTGGGCGCGGCTGCCGCCCGCGCAGCAGGACGAGATCATCGACCGGTGCCTGGTGGGGCCGCGCGCCCTGGAGCCCCGAGACCCCGGGGACTCGGAGGAGCTCGCGCGCTTCCCCGGCCTGCGCGGCCCGACGGGCCAGAAGGTGGTGCGCTTCGGGGACGAGGTAGGTGCGGGCCTGGCTGCCGACCCTCTTCCCCGCCTCGCGCCCCTAGGCGCCCCTGCCTGGGGGGCACCTGCCGGCGTGTGCCCCCCTCCCCAGTTGGTAGGGGCTGGAAAGAAAAAAGGAATGGAAGGGGAGTCCCAGCCGAAGGTCGGGGGATAGGGGCTCCGCGGGGGGAGCTGGTTAAGAAACCTCCATCTAGATCTGCTCCGCCGGCTCGCACGGACTCAGAGACGTCTCCCCGAGCTGCTCTTAAGCAAGGCTGACCAAAGTGGAAACAACAAGCAATTTTAAACCAGACAAGCCCGGGTTTTAATCCAGCTCCGCCGCTTACCACCTGTATTGCCGTGAGTGAATTAACTTCTTAGAGCCTCAGTTTCCACTGTGTAAAACAGGGATAACGCCCACCCCGTGCCAGCCCATGAAGGCACTCAGCATATGATAGATATTAATATGAATAATTGTGATGAGATGTATGGGGAAAGTAAAATCGCCAAACCAGGTAACAAGAAAGAAGAGATGTCTTCCAAGATAAGGAGGGAAATCCATTCATCACCCTAAGATGCTTTCCGAGTGAGCACAACACCCAGGGTATGTTTTAGGGGTGAGCATGGTGACCCTGTTTTCCACCAAAACACTAAGGGATGATTAGTTTAAATGCACTCCAGCAAGTCTTGGCTGCATAACAGGGCATGTTTACCTCTCAGATCGAAACACTGTCCAGACTTCTAGAGGGGCAGTCATCGTGAAGGTAGCAATGCTGAATCTGTTCCAGAGAAAGCTCAGAGATGACCCACACTTAGTCACAAAGGCCTGACTGTTCTGTGGGGTTCAGAAACTTAGTCTTCTTTTTCTTAGAAATACGTTTAACCAAAGCCTGTTTGGTGCCATTAGAATTTGTGCTGTGGCTGTTTGGCCTTTAAAGTCAACTTTTGCCGTGAGGGGCAAAGTCAAGCAGAGCAAAAAGTATGAGAATGAAATCACTCGCTGTTGAGGCTGTTTCTTAGGCTAGAGGGAGGAGAAGCTGGGAGAATTTTTTTCCCCCTAGAAAGTTGTGGATTGTGGATAGAATTCAAGTTAAGGAGGTTTAGATCAGATTTTCAGGCTTAGGTGTGCTGAGACGTTTATTAATACAACATGTTCGTGGTCATAAACTCACTTTAATGCGAGGGAAAAGTGAAATGACTGAAGAGTGCTGCTAACGCTGCTTTGTTCTGATGGAAACGAAAGGAAATTCTCTACTGGACTTCAAATTCTGACGGCTTTGCCAGAAAAAACAAGGGTGTGGTAAACTGGGGAGGGGAAAGTACAGGTTTTAAAATGTATTCCTAGAGCTGAAACATTTTCAGTGGGAAAATATGCATATTTATAAAGGCGCGTGTAGTGTTGGCGCTCAAATTTGGGGGATGAAAAAGCAGGCAGCACTCCTTTGGAAGAGTCACGAATAAATATGAGAGGAAGTAAACTTCTAAGTACTTACAAATGTTGGAGAGTGACTGTCATTTTCCCTTAGCTTGGTGTCTAGCTAAGAATATCTACACGCCTACTCATGATCAAAAAGCCTGTGTCATAGAAGAGCCCAGTATTACTGACGAGGAAGAATGTGGCCAAGTTAATTTTTTATTCTCATTCCTTATCTGGTGCCAGACTGAGCTGTTTCGCAATTTGTAAACTCAATGTGATTTAAAAGCAAGTGGAACTGTGCTATGCTGTGGTGCCTGCATGTCCTTCCAGGAGCAACTCAGGAGAATTGAATCTCAGCTTTGCAAAACCACCTGAGAGCATGTTCCGAAATGCCTCCCACCAACCTCAGCTCAGATGGTGGAGGGACAGATAGACCCTGAATTTTAAGAGAGGTACATAGGAACGTGGCCGGGGTGCGTTTTTGCCTGCAGTGGCTGTGTAGGTTAATAGCAGTGGGGAATTTAAATTCCCCTGGACTGGGCCAGAGGTTGGCACCAAAGTGGAGTCAGTGGTCCCATTGTTGTCCCCAGGAGATCATTCATGGAGGTGCGCCAGCTCCTGGGCACAGGGATGATGGATAAGGACAGGGTAGACTGCTGAACAGAGGTTGTCCCTGAATGGGTGGCCCCAAATTTGTCCTAAAGGACTGTAAACAAGATAGAGTGGGGCCCTCTGTCCCTTGCCACTTGATCAGTCTTCTGGTGTGGTCCTGGGGCCTCCACAGCCCTTTTTGCTGCCCTGAAGGACTCTGCCTATTTCTTTGAACAGTACCCTCTGCCCCATTGCCAATAATGTTTTTCTATCTCACATAGCAACATTTTAAGTCAGAGCATGCAAATATAGCCTCCAAATGTGGTGACCATCTTCCAGACATTTTTATGTATTTCAGGAACAAATAGAAATTGATTATATGTGCTGATCACAGATCTTGGTGGTTCTGAATGTGGTCTGGGGCTCGGTTCACTCACTGAAGTTGTCTGTGCATCTGATAGGTGTGGCATCTGTGTGTGTTTTCATCCTCATCCTCTGGCTAAGGCACAGATGGCCCCTTGCCTTGAGGACTTAACATGGTTCTCCTCAGGGAAGGAGGTTGCTGCCTTTGAGTTTTGAAGCCGTGAAGGCTTCAAATTATCAGTCTTCAAATCTATCAGTCTTTAGATTCTTGCTTCCTTGGGAATCAACTGAGCAGATAATTCTCAAGGCCTGTTATATTAGAGACAAGGCATTCTAGCTTGGGGTATGTAGTCATCCCGTAATCTTTACCAACTCCTTTAAAAATCCCCCTGGTGAATAGATGATCTTAGTAAACAGCACAGAAGTATAGCTTCAACCTAGGCCCCAGTCCCTTCCACAGCCACCCAACCCCCTTTTGTGGCGAATCTGGAGCTGCTGCTGGCAGAACATTTCTCAACCAGCAAAATGAGAGGAGCCCGCGGAGCCCCAAGACCTGGATTCTCCTCCTGGCCATGCGGGCAGCCAGGTGCCGCCCCTCTGAAGGGGTAGTTTGCACCTCTGTGAAGTCTGGTGACAGAACCAATGGCTCACAAAGTTTCTTTCAAGCTTGCTGGAGCAGGCCCGGACACTGGGGACATGCACTTTTGGTCCAGTATTTTGGTGAGAACATTCAGGCATGCTTGCAAATGGTTGCTTTGACAGTCTTTCACGTGTGCTGCTTGATTGCCTCGTTCTTCCTCCAGCAGTAGGGTTTCGGGAATGATTTTCTTTGGGAGGGGAAAGGTTTTCATTTTAGAAGGTCTGCTTCTGCTGTTTCCTGTTATCCAAAAGGAGTAAACCCCACGGACCTCTGAGTTGTTAGGAATGTGTTGCTCTCTGCTCCAGTCCCTAATCTACTTGTCACTGATCTAGCAAGATCTGAATACGTGGTGAGAGTTACAGGGTTCCAGGTTCCGTGTGACATTCTTGGCTCCGGATGGGCCCTAAGCAGATGACTGGGGAATTTGGGGCAGCTGGGGCATCTTGTTCGCGTGGCCCTATGTGCCTCATCCTCCTCTCTATAAGGTGGAGCTGGGCAGGAAGAGTGGTTCCATATCTCTGATCGAGGTTTCACATGTCGTAGAATGTGGATTTTTAGAGACCCTGGAGCCAGACAGCTCTGTTACCTCTTCAACAGCTTGGCATGATCCACTGCCGTGTGCCGCCAGCGCCTTCATCTCTGCCCCTCCTGCAAAAACCTGGGGACTTGCTGTATGCTCTCTACTCCTCTTGGCCACAGCTTCCTTTTCTGAAGCTGTTTTTGCCTCCCTATGTCTGCTGCATTGCCTGTGGCCTCTTAGTCTTAGGCTAAAGGACTCCACAGGTGCTGCAGGCATGGGTACCTATGTTCAGCAAACCGCTGAGCTGCTGCGCCCACTCTGTGTCTTCAGGGCTATCTGCAAAAAGGCCTGTCTGCAAACCTAGGGGCCTCTGTGCTGGCCAGCCTAGATGTTTGCCTTCTGAAATAAACTAATTTATTATAAAAGTTTTTACCTGTACATTATTTTTAAAAGTTTCAAACCATACAGCATTATAGAACAGCTGGTGGAATCAGACTATACAGAACTTTCCTTGAGCACGACATCTTTGTTAGATTTGAGTTTGGCTGGCTGTGTGGCCTCTCAGTGCAGAACCAGTGACACGTGAGGGCTTCTCATCCCCTTTCCCTTTAGCAGATTGGTTTTTTCTTTTTGTAATCTGACATAAAATATAAAAGAAAAAAAGAAAATTAGTGAGTTGCTTTCTCAACATTTTGGACTCATTTTTTAAGTAAGATGGAATGTTTGAATTCTGATTTCCACTTTCTGCCTGGCGTATCCATGGATGTTTTAGAAAGGATGGCAGGGTTGTCTGAGTCCCTTTACCTGGGGCCCTGGGTAGGAGTTGAGATGACCCTGCTTTAAATCCAGTTCCACGGGCTGAGAGGAGAGGGTGGCCGGGCCTGTTCTGTGAGCTTCCCTTTCACGTTGTGGGTTCTCTGCCCTCAGTAGCTCCTGGCCTGGTGCCCTGGGAGCTAAGGCAGCAGCTTAGGCCTCTCCTCCCTAGGCGTCTCTGCCTACTGGCTCCTGTGGGACGGTGGCCCAGTCACAGCCAGGGAACAGGTTTAGCAAAGAAATGAAGTGACTTGGTCACTGTCATGCAGGGAGGGAGATCAAGAAGCATGGCAACAGGTGTGGAGTCATCTTTTAATTGATAGGAGTCACTTTTACACTCTAAGCAAGGGATTCCTGTCCTGGAGAAAATGTCTATTTCTTCTGAAGGAAGGAAGGAAGGAAGGAAGGAAGGAAGGAAGGAAGGAAGGAAGGTGAGACCTATCTGTTTAGACTTTGTGTTGTATTTTGCTCATTTCTTTAGAATTTCCTCCACCTACTCTGTATCCTGTTCCCATTACCACACTCGTGCTGACTTTTTGTTTGGCTGTGATCTGTGGAGGCCTGAGTTTCTGAATTTGTATTCATGGTGAAAAACATGCCCAGTGGTTAAATCCAGACTGTTTTTCTGTCTTTGGAACTGCAGTATTGTATTTCCAGTTATGGAAACCCCCT